ATTAGACCTAAAAATATTACTATGAAAGAAAAAAATATATGAAAAATTTGTAAGGAAAAAATCGTAGCACATTAACAAAAAATTATAAATTATGACAGACAGGGAGATAGACAGGAACCAGGAATAGACAAACAGAACTGAGGTGGGCCGGAGGTACCCTGTATAATTTTTCTCCAAAAAAAGGGTAACAATTTGAAACCAGACTAAAAACGCGTAATTTGTTTCTCTCATTGATTCAAGAGATCCACCTAAAAAAGACACCCTGTATATATAGAGTCTGGTCGTATAGATGTCCGGAAAAAAAGGTTTTAGAGAGAAACATAAAATAATAATCCTATCAAAAGAGATAAGTACAAATACAAAGATTGACGCTTTAAAGGTAAGTCAGAAAGATAATACGACCAAACAGAAAGATAAGACGACAGAAAGACGACATACTAAGAAGAGAGAAAAACAGACGATGAAAAAGCAGATACACTGAGAAACACACAAAAACACACACAGAGAAAATAAGATCGATAGAAAGATGGAAGAAAAAGAGACAAGCAGATATGGAGATGAATTCTAAAAATACATTTTATGGAAATAAATTGTCCAAAGTATGCCGTAGATTTACAGCACAGTTTTAATGTCCTTTGAGGTTTCGTAAGGGTTCCGCGTACATATACATATGTATTACCACGTATATATATATATATATATATATATATATATATATACATATGTATTACCATATATATACGCGTACCATACATGCATTTGTCGAGTAAACCATTTGACCTTCAAATTGTTCATAATGTCTAAGAGTCAACAAAAAATAGTAAGAACGTGGCATGACGTAAACAAAAAAAAAAGATAAAACTTTTTCAAGAGTTGATAGCTCTGAATATCGCTAATCGTAATTCCTTAATGGATTGCCACCAGTTGACAAGATGCAAAGATTGTGTGCTTATGATATTTAATTACACCGGTTACTTTTATCCCTTGGGTGAAAGAGACGCCGAAACACCGGGCCTCTTCTGTGACCACTCGGAAGCTCAGAATAAACAGGTGTCATCCGAGTTTTTCGTGGTTTGGAAATAAAAGGATCAATATGGTCATTAAACTACCTAAGGTCAGTGTAATTAAATTAATTATGTACTCCTCTTCGGGCCGAAGAAGAAAGTTTGTTTACGAAAATTTTACACTCTGTCCCATTTTAGGTCACAGCGATATTCAAATCAATTGAGTTAAGAGAAAAACATTTCTTTGATCATGAATAACATTCACCGTTATGCTTGGTGTAAATATTAAAACTATCAGCTTTAAATTTAAGAACAAAAGGAAAATTACTTAAAACAACATTAGACTCTTACTCTTGGATGTGAATAAATTAATTTGTATGCTGCAGAAATATAATTGTACGTAATTATCTTTTATCTTGGTTATTGCAATCGTCATCGTCACTCCCAAAATTTTTTTTGTAAAGTCGTAACGACATACATTATTTCTTTTTGGTAATAATTGTTTATAATTTTATTCTAATCCAAACAAAAAAATTCAAAGTAAAAAAAATCCCAAAATAGATCCCAAATTGAAAAGTTCTGTCTTTTAAGAAAGATAGAAGGTAGAAATTAAATCTGTTCTAGTAGTAGGAGAAATGATTCGCAATAAACCAAAATATATTGTTAAATAATTGTGGCAACACTAAAAAATAAACTAAAATGAAATAAATAAATCAATAGCTAGTTAGTACTCATTTATTCAACTGCATGAAATTTGTGTATTTCCTATGTTCAGATTATATATAAATAAATAATAAATATGAATATTAGTAATTAATCCATTATAATTCGTGGTCCGATTGACCAAATAACATCTTTCAATTAATTAATCTTTATGTAAGGTATTGGTTGAAATAAAAATCCAGTGTCACGAGCGGGATGATCCCGCTTTTATCATTCGCACTTTTTAGGGAATTTAAAATGTTTATTCAGTCACATTTGAATTCTGACGCAATAAACGGTTTAGTTTCAACTTTGTCTTCTTAATTGCAATTTCTAAACTTAAAAATGCCATTTAATGCTGAGGATGTTGCTCGTGGTGCGGCACTTATGATGGTCGTTCAACCAGGTATGCGGTATGTCATATGCCATGTCCACTACGAAACTCCGCGAGACGCCATCAGGCGTTTTCGAAAAACTGGATCCTACCAAAGAAGGCCCTGTTCTGAAAGCTCTAGGGTAACAGAATCACAGGATGACGGATTTTTTGACTTTAAGAATTTTGCGAAACCGGCACCTTAGTGTTGTTCAAACGATTCATCAGCTACAGCAAGTTCGAAGTGTTCAAATTTCTCGAAGAAGATCAGTATGGATTGATAGCTTCCCCCCCCCGTAAGAGGTCCAGAATTGACAAAACACACAGAGTTGCACGACTCCCATTTGCTCGAGAATACAGCCATTGGCCTTTTGACAATTGGTCTGCTGTAAAGTTACAAAAAATCACGTTTTAGACATTTTTGTTTCCAAATTTTTCGTTGTTTTCCATTCCTGATTTGGCACTATTCGTGTTTTTTTTAGTCCTACGTTCACTCTGAACTTTGGAAGATAGTTTACAACCAAGAAATGTGTTTCTTAGAACATAAATAAAAGAAAAAAATTATGAAACATGTCAAAAATGAACATTTTAAAAACTGTGATCAGTTCATAATGATCCCTTAATCTCTTGAGGTATTATATATATATATATATATATATATAGGGTGTTCGGCTACTCGTACAAACTTTGCCGTAGATTCTACATTCAAAATTGAACCAAAAAGCCCTAATTAATTATGATCTGAATCTCAGCAGTTTCGGAGTTATTCCACTTTTTCTGATTTTTTAAGATTTCACGACCTTGCTTCAAGTAAACAATGATAACTCCAAAACTAAAAGGTTTTGAACAATTCCGTTGTACCACTGAAAACTACGTTAAATTTCCAATAAGATGTGATCAATAATAAACTTGTAAACGTTCGGGAAATAAGTGTTTTAGTAGCGAGAACTTTGAAAAATATTTTTTTTTCAAAGTTGAAAACCTTACTATGGTGGTTATTCAGATATCGTGAGATGCGGTCGGGTGTGATGTAGGTTTCTCACGATATCTGAATAAAGGTCACCAATCTCTACAAACTTACTATGGTGATTATAAACTACTATTTCCAGACCTAGAGATCAGCAAATTTCAGAAAACGTACTCCATTGTCCATCCCTTTTAGTGGTGTAATTTTCTTTTTTAATTAGTTTTTTCAAAGATGAAGAAATTGATGGAGGAAAGGAAAAAACCGTGGCTAACAGATTGGTAAGGTGGAATATTAAAAAAAACAAGGTAATTTTGAATGAATTTATTAAACATTTTTTTGATTTGGGATCGAAACCGAAATAGTGCAAGTGTTTACTTATTTACCAACACGAGTGGAACTTTGATTAAAGGATTATTGTATTATTTTCTCTGGAATAAAACAGTTTTAAGATTCAAAACGTTTTTAGTTAGTGATATCTTGTTAACACTATGGCTCCTTTTTCTAATGAAGAATACACCCATATACATGTCATGTATGGGTTTTGCGGATTTAATGCGACGGCAGCACGTCGAAAATACATTGAGAAGGGTGGAGAGCATTTGGAATCAAAATTAAAGAAACGTTTAATAAATTCATTCAAAATTTACTTATCTTTTTTATTGTTTATTATTATTAATCGTTCGAATACTTCAACCACGGGTTTTTCCTTTCCTTCATCAATTTCTTCAAAAAAGTAATTAAAAAAAGCAATTGCACCACTAAAAAGATATTAAATGGAGTACGTTTTCCGAAATTTGCTGGTTTCTAGGTTTGGAAATAGTAGTTTATAATCACCTTAGTAAATTTTTAGTAAAAAACAATTTTTCAATGTTCTCGCTACTAAAATGCTATTTCACAAACGTTTACAAGTTTAGTATTGATCACATATTATTGGAAGTTTAACGTGGTTTTCAATGGTATCAACGGAGTTGTCCAAAACCTTCCAGTTTTGGAGTTATCATTGTTTGAAGCAAGGTCGTGAAATTTTAAAAAATCAGAAAAAGTGAAATAGCTCCGAATATTATTCAGAAATCGTGAGATGCGGTCTGGTGTGATGTAGGTTTCAGAGAAATATTTTNTTGGCACGATAAAGAAAATGTTTTTCTGAAACCTACCTCACACCAGACCGCATCTCACGATTTCTGAATAATTATCGATTAACGGTCACTAATCACCACATAGCTCCGAAAATGTTGAGATTTGGACCATAGTTAAGTAGGAATTTATGGTTTCTTTTTGAATATAGAATCTACTGGCAAAGTTGGCAACATGAGTAGCCGAATACCCTGTATATAAATTATTTCTTTGATACACCTACGACACAATAAAGTATACAAGCATATATACTTAATCTAGAAACAATACCACCACACTAAAATAAGTGAGATTTTATAATTGTGAAAATAGTTCAAAATCAAAAGTTTAAATTTTTTTAAATATTCGGGCTTTGTTTTTTGCTTGAATTAAAATTATTTGAGCGTGGGCGTGATTACCGAGTTGCAATGTAAGAAAAATTGTTTCATTTTCGGCAAATAGAGCGTGCAATCTCTCCAATTGTGAAGGGCTAACGAGTAAAATAATTTTTCGTTATGTCATTGTTTATTAAACAATCGTGGAAATAATGTAACAATTATATCCACAGGTGGGGAAGCTAAAGGGAGCGCGAAGTTCATTGCATTTGTTACGTCTTTCCCAATGGAATTTACGAAGCATTACAGAGAAATCAGTTAGGTAATGAAGGTTTTTCCCTTTGAAAAAAAAAAATTCGAAAAATAGTAAACTGTTGCATAAAATTATTAAAAATGGTTAATAAATGATTCCAATGAGAATAGAGGTCGTTCGTCTATTACGGATTCTCACTATTGCATCAGTGAAAGGAAAAAAACACCGGCTGGCCGCATCCTTTTGTTTACACGGCGTTTGAGGATTAACAGCGTGTACGTCGGAATAGTACAAGTGGAGAATTCGAGATTCGTAAAAATTCTCGAATAATTCTAAAACCTGTATTGCAATTGAATCATAATGTATTCCGGATATCACCGGAGGTCTGTGCGGAGTGCGGGGAAGAGGAAAAAGCTCGGCCCTTTGTTCGCGTAAAGTTCGTCGCTTCAAAAATGAGAAACAATACGCCTGCAAAACGTGTAAGTCGCACTGTTATCACTGCTAGTACGATTCAAACATAGAAAACAATACAATTCTTACCTAGATTTGGGACAACATTTTTCTCCTAACTTAAGCTACAGCTTTTAAAAATGTACTCTATACGTCCCGAGTAAAATCCACCGCATTTAAATTCTTATTTATACATATCGGTAAATATTGCCAGTCAATACAGCTTATTATTTAGAACCGGTTAATAAATTCATTACGCTCTAAAAACGATTTCCTTGAAAGATATCAAGTTGAAAAAAATCTAATAAACTTGTACAAATTAACGATTTTCTAAAGTTTTATATGAATGATGGCAATAGATTAAAACACCATAAAATAAGTTATTTATGTTTATTCAAATATTGTTACATCATGTTATGCCTAATCTGCACCGATTAAACTTTAAACGCGATATAGCACTGCAATATTTTCTGAGAAATAGCAATTCCTTATCTAATTTTAAAAATAAATTACATTTAAATAAGGTTTAATGAAAGCTAGGAAAAAATGAACTAACTGCAATTTTCCAGATATTATGATTGATTAAGTCGTGGACTCTTAATAAACCTGTTTACTGTTGATTAAATGCTAAATAAAATTAATTATGTATTGTTTTATAATAGTTATTATCCCGTAGAAAAACAGAAATTATGGTTTTTCTTGTAAGTAATTCACTGTTGTTCCAAGAAGAATCTTCCTTTAATTTTTTCAGCTCATTTATTTCACCTTTTATTGAGTTGGCATTAAATTTACACCTCATTTCAAAACGTTGTCATTTGTATTTATGAAAGTTGTAAAGTTGTTTTGGGTAATAACTCTCTATCTATCTATATCTCTCTCTCTTTATCTCTCTCTCTCTCTCTCTCTCTCTCTCTTTCTTTCTATGTCTCTGCCTACTTATTCTATTTCATTCACCCTCTTCCTGTTTATCTCCTTCTGACGATATTTATTTATTTAGAATATGTCTCTCTCTCTTATCACACAGGTACACCCTCTCTCTCTCTCTCTCTCTCTCTCTCTCTCTCTCTCTCTCTCTCTCCCCCTCTCTCTCTCACTCTGTATTACGTTCTTTTCTCTCTTTCCTCCTCTCTCACTTCCTGTTTATCTCCCTCGCTATCTCTCGAAGTATTTATCTATTTCTCTAAACTACGTATCCCTCTTATTTTCCCTCATTTTCTCGATATATGTGTTTGTAATTCCTCCTCTCCTTCTCTTATTGTACCTTCCCTCCCTTTTTATCTCTCTCATAAATCCGCCTCTTTCTTTCAATATATCTCTCTTGCTCCATACTTTTTTCCCCTTCTCTGTTTACCTCTCTCACACACACTCTCTCCTCCCCCCCTCTCTCTCTCTTACTCTCTCTCTCTCTTACTCTCTCTCTTTTTATGTCTCTGCCTATTTATTCTGTCTATTCCAGTCACCCTCTTCCTGTTTATCTCCTTTCCACAATATTTATTGATTTAGAATATGCCTCTCTCTTATAACACACGTACACTCTCTCTCTCTCTCTCTCTCTCTCTCTCTCTCTCTCTCTCTCTCTCTCTCTGTTTTCTTCTCTGTCATTTCCTATTTATCTCTCTCGCTATCTCTCTTTCTCTTGAAATGATTATTACTCTCTTTTTCTGGATATATTTATTTCCTCCCTCTATTTTTATATCTCTTACTCTTTTTCTCCTTCTTCATCTCTCTCCATCTATCTCTCGTTGTATTTCTCCCTTCTTTTCCTCCCTCTTTATCTTACTTTCATTATATATATCTTTATTCCTCTTTCTCTTCCTCTGCCTATTCATCTCTCCCTCTTTCTCCCACTTTATGTTTCTTTCGTTTTTTCCTTTCCCTCCTCAACTCTCTCTCTCTTTCTCTCTCTCTCTCTCTCTCTCTCTCTCTCTTGATATTTATGCTATCTCTCTTTTCTTTTGGATGTATTACTCCTCTCTTCCCCTCTCTTCATATCACTAAATCTTTCTCTTCCTCTTCATGTCTCTCTTTCTTTTTTTTCTCTCGCACTATTTCTCTCCCTTTTACTGGTTTACTTTGGTTTACTTTAAAATAAGTATGTTGTAATATAACTATAAACATCCATTTAATTGAAAATAAAGAACAAAATAATTGTGTCCGGTTTTTTGTATTTAAGACAAAAGTTTTGTGTATAATCCACGAACCTACTATCAGATTAATTAGCCTTTTCTTTCTATTTCCGCTACTGTGTATATAAAGATACAAAAATATGTTTAAAAAAAGAAAATCGATTAAATTAATCAACGATCCGCAAATCATTTAAAAGTAGATTTTTTAAAAATAATTTTTACTAAGGGGTCGGTTACCTCAGTACAAATACTATCGTTTTCAATTCAATAACCCTTAATGGGTTGGGTCAATTAGCGGCTCTCTTTTTGATTAAAACAATCTTGATTTTATATAATTAATTGTTGTTCTAAACCGCAATTTTTTGTGTGTGTATATTTACTAAACATTTAATCATTTAAATCAGGAAGGATAAAAAATTGGCCAGTTTTGTAACATGTAAATGATGAATGATCTCTCTTCTTCTTTGTTAACAGTTAAGTTAAAATTTAGTTGTTTATTTGTTTACGATTTAAAACTGGATTTCTTTTTTTAAAAACTAAAATGTCAACTTATTTAGATTCACTAGTTTTCGTGGTCCACTTGACCAATTAATATCTTTCAATTAATTAAGGTTTTTAGTTGAGATAAAAAAGTCAGTGAGCGGATGATAACTCAAGTGGTAGAGCAGCGGCTATCTAGCCAAAGATCGTGGGTTCGAATCCCGCTCGTGACACTGACTTTTTTATCTCAACTAAAAACCTTAATTAATTTAAACTTATTTAGATTGTTAAGTAAATTGATTAATAAGTTTTTTTCTGATTGGGTTGTCAATTATCATTTCTAAACCAGGATCAATAATATCTTTTTAATTACTAAGCAGACTATTTCGTAAGTTGTAATATTTTTATTTTTTAGGGCAATTCTGTAAAATTATTAAACTACGGAATGAGATAGAACTTGACTCAAAGCAGACAAAGTCCTAAATTTAGATTTCAGTAGGTTTATTATGTCACTTTATTGGTTTATATTATTAATTTGCAACCTTTATGAGACTCATTTCGGCTTTTAATTAACTTTTTATCTTATCCTCTTGGTTACATTATTAATCATTCATCGGGCTAAAAAAATAATTTAATATATATCTATTTTCTTTTAATTTTTAAAAATCTCCTCTTTTCAAAATACGCCCGTGAATTATTGAGTTGATTCTTTGGAAAATGTGTGAGCCTAAAGGGGCGGGGTCCAGTTTCAACGGCTCAGCTTTTTTCTACTTAGCTTCTATACTTTGAAATTTTAAAAATGTCCAAAGCAGTTTAAAAAAATGTATTTTCCAGAAAAAAACAAGATCCCTTTCCTTTTTATTAATTTTAGAATTATTCTTCTGATGTCTATACTATTGTTTTGAAAAGTTGATTAGGATGGAATTAGCCGTTTTAACAGTCTGTGTGATATCTTTGATTGTTTTTTTGTTTTTTGCATATTTTCATACTTGAGGACTTGAGAACCTAAGACATAAATGAACAATATATGTTTTCTTTTATTATAAAGGACGTAAACACAAAAGAATAAAATATACAACAAATATTCAAGGGAAAAAGATTCTAATATATGTAAAACATTTTTAATTTGGGTTGGTTCGGTTTGAAAAACCCCCTAAGGTTGACGTGACCCTTTCGCGTGGGAAAATCCTTCGCGTGATAATGGCCGTGATTTTTTCTAGCTTAATCTTAAGATTTAAATATGTTTCTTCATCTATCCTTAAATAGTTGTGTCGACCGTTATTAGCTTCTATACGGAGAATAGTCTTACATGAAAATACGCTTCTCCTTTCCAACTTTTGCATCATGCAGTCGGTTTTACATGTTTTTTCACTCACGGTTCTAAGCGATTTGTTGCCAATAATAAAACAAGGAACATTCAATGAGCCGAATGTGGCCGTGTTGATCTACCCCTGGTTGATATAACCCGATACAGAGGTTGAAAAATGTCGCGAAATGCCATGAACATTGATTTTGTTATATCGCGTTTGCCTTAATTTTCTTGAAAAAGAAAACAATCACGGACTCCAGTATGAATTTCTGTTAAAAGTTGCATTTTAATATGACAATAGTTTGAAGATTTATTGTAAATTATTTCAATTTGATATTTTATTGTTAAAATCAACGTTGACGTTACATAAATACGACAGTTTTTAACGGGTTTTGTAACTTTTTGTCACCAGGTCTGAAATGGCTTTGTTTTCACCTGAACACGAGTAGACACGAAACTGGAAATACTAGTATTATAGAGGTTCCGCCTATTAAAAATTATTACTAATGTACAGCAATAAAGTTGCACTTAAATGGCCGGCTTAGAGGGCAAGAAGTGTAAAATGAAAGCATCCGTGCAACGACGACTGTATTTAGAGTTCCGCAAGACGAAAAATAAAGCGGAAAACCATTGTCATAATTAAAAATCGCCTCACGGATTCCTCAGAAATAAACAATGTGCCAATGTCCAATATGACATGCTTTTGCAGAGGTATTTTTAGCTTTTTGATACTAATACAAAACACTATTTTCATTTAACACTGTCAGATACGTAGTTTGGTCGACAATTTACTCGTATACTCGTCGTGTTGGTACGTCAAACGCTTTCAGGCATTTCGCTACCTTCAGTGTTAAGTCTGGATGACACGACAGCTAGAATATCACGAAGCGATCAGTTGAATTGTGTAATTTCTCTGACTGACTGTGATAAACCTGTAATTTGGTTGTTAACGAACCCTGGTGTTGCCTAACCTCGCCGTTGGTGTGCCAGACGTCGGCGTTTCAGTGTGTTTTTCTGACCCTTGTGATTTCGGGAGACTATGGCGGAACCTTTATCAGAAGTGTGTGGTGGTTAGTGACCGTTAATCGATATTTATTTAGAAATCGTGAGATGC